TCCCTGTCTGCAGCTCCTCGCCGGAGCCGTTCTATGGCTGCCCCAAAGCCCACAGGGGGAGGAGGGCCCGGCCCAAGGCCTCTGGCAACATAGGCTCAGCAGCACAACTAAGTTGCCTTTGCAGTTTGGGAGTAAGACCGAGTTCAGATAAGCTCACGCGTACACAAAAGCCAGCATCCCTAAAATGCATTTCACGCGTTTTCACAACTGCTGCCAGTTGCATGCAGCATGCAAAAGGCAAACTACGTGGGTGTGTACACAGGCACACATTGTAAATGCACCCTTCTGTGCAAACCCGTGAGCACTGGAATATCCAAACCGGTTTAGCGGCCAGCCAAAATCATGGCAACAAAAACACGGGAACACACTGACAAAATTACGAAGAAAAAGCGGCACACGAATGAGTCAATAAAAACAAAGTTAAGATTGCATCCATTCTCACAAACGGCTGCGTTCCAGACAGGAACTAAGACAGAGAAGCGCACAACTGGGCAAGCGTGCAGGAATGTAGCAACTGTTCATACACAGTAGAAGCAGCTGAGGCGCAGACTAAACGCGGTATTGAGATGGAGTAAGGGCAAATAGAGAAAAACGAGGTCCGGCAAAGTACGAGTTGGGAGGAGAAAAGGGCTCTGTGTGGCTGCGCAGTTACCGAGGCGCTTTGTGAGATAGGCCTAAGTCAGGCCTGAAAGTGCATTCCTTTAAGTCATCTTGCTGCTGTTGCTGCTGCCGAAGCTGCTTTTGCTGTTCTTGCTGCTGTTGCTGATATTGCGCCAGCTCGAATAACTGCACGTGTCGAGACACCCCCCCTTTTGTCTGCGAATCCAAAACACCAGCTCCCTTTGCTCGATCATATAAGGTTGATTACAAACTGTAGGTGTTTGTTTCCTGTGGCATACGTTCTTGCGCGAATCCATATTCTGGAATTTTCCTGTAGGCAGCTGCGGTTTGCATACACCTGCATTTAAATGGCATGATCGCCTTACTCGCTTTGGCTGTTTCTGAGCCGCCGTTGGGGGCCCCCAGGGGCCCCCCACTGAGTTTCCCGTCGGTGTGTAGGAACGGGGGCTTCGTAGGCACCGCTGCTGCTGCCCCTGCTGCCGCTGCTGCTGCAAGAGCTCCCTTCGAGCCTGTCGTTGCCGCCCTGTGCGCAGAAGCCATGCCTCAAAAAGCTGATGCGGCAAAACTTGAACTCGCGTTGGCGAAGCCTACAGGATCCTGCTGCTTCTGAAGAGCAGCGCTGTATGGAGAAAGCTCCCAGGCCAACTGACTGCATTGACAACCCCCCTTTTCCCTGGGATCTAAACCCTCACTGCTACACTGAACCCTTTGGCCTGGAAAACCCAGCTTTCCGGCTGACCGCGTTCAAGAAGCCTTTCTGTGACTGCTGCAGAGCTGCAGCGCACTTTTGGCTGTGCCTCCTGTGCGGGTGCCTGGCCTGCAGGCAAAACTCTTGGCCGTCAAGTTTGGGTCTTTAGCCCAAACCCTTCACCCTGGGCCAAGAGCGCAGAGCCTAAGGGTCTTCCCAGTGCTATTACTAAGCCCATCTAGAAGACTAGCATTGAAACTCTGCGCCCCCATGATGCGAAACTCTAGTTCAAAACCCAAGTCCTAAACCCTCACGGAGGCTTTTGTTGCGGAAGAAGCAACTCCTCTGGCGGTTCAAAAGCAGCGGCAAGAAGTCACGACTTAGGCGCCGCAGCTCAGCGTAAACTGCAAGAGTTTCCTGCAAAGCCAAACGCCAATTCAGCTAAGCCGCACCCCTGGGCCAAAACCCTTATCTTGGACGTCAAACAACAGAGTGCCAGCGCCTGCGTTTCGAAGCTGTAAGCCACTTAGCAGCGGCTGAGAGCCAGCGGAATTGTCGGGCAGGCAGCAACAGGATCAGCAGCAGCTACAGCAGCAGCAATTGCTACAAGAAACGAGCCAGTGAACTCAGTGCAATGGTGCAGCAGCTACAGCAGCAGCAATTGCCACAGAAACACGCATCAAGAAACTGCTCATCGTGATGCAGCAACTACAGCAGCAACAATCGCTACGGAAATACGCGTCAGGAAACTGTTTATAATGGCGAAGCAGCTGCAGCGGGTACTTGGCTCACTTGCTGCAGCTGTGTTGCTGCGTGTGCAGCTCTGACGCTGCTGACTTCTGCTTCGCCTTCTCTGATTCCTATATTCTCAAGTCTTTTGGTCGCTGCAGCGAGTTGAGAGCAGGAGCATTTGTTGCTGATGCCGCTGCTGTCACGGGCGGGTTCCTTGCTGCTGCCGCAGTGACCGCTGCAGCTGGTGCTGCTGCTGCTGCCACTCGAACTCCTGCTGCAGTCCGACAAGAGACCAGCAAGAAACTGGAAAAGACGCTCTCGCTGTATCTTTCCCGAGCCTTCAGGGTCCAGAAGGCTGCAGAGCCGGTCTGCCAATCGCTGCGGGGGAAACCTCATTCAATTAATGGATTTAATCTGAAGTTTTAATAAATTCTCAACTCTCACAGCCTCACGGCAGCAGCCTTGACTGGCACTTAATTGGTAAAGATCATCTGCTGCAGAGCTCAGCAGAGGCTGTTCAAGATTCGGATTTCAGAACTGAACATGTAAATTTCAAGATGAAGAGTAAGAAAAGCCTTACGAGTTCTTTCTTTGTGGCTTCTTGAAATGTCAGCTGCTTCCTCGCCCTGACAACGGGGTTGGTCCGCTGCAGCAGCTGCTGCTGCTGCTCGTGTTGGTGCTGGAAAATACCCAGCAGCTGCAGGCAGTCAGGGAGCAGAGGCGCCGGGAGGCCAGAGGCGCCTGAGGCTTGCTGCTGAAGGCTGGCGTAGGCCTGCCTGCATGCATGCGCAGCAGCAAGGGTTTGCGTCTTAGGGTTTGGCGGGCTCGGGGCAGACAGCAGCGAAAGGGTTTCGCGTTTGGCTTTACTTGAGTTCCTTGGAGAGCCGCTGCTTGAAGACTCTGAGCGACGCAGCGGTTAGCTTGGATGAGCTACTGAGGTGCTGCTGCTCTCGTTGCAGCACGAGAAGCTGCTGCTGCTGCTTGCGCCTCCTCGTTAGTGCGTCTTCGTAGAGCTGCTGAGAGATAAGCAAGCCGCAAGAGGCGCTGCTGCTGCTGCTGCTGCTGCTGCTGGCGGTTACTGCGCTACAACGCGACCGCTGTTGCTGCTGCTGGCGTAGCAGCAGAATCTTTTGCTGCTGCTTTTTCCGCCTCGACTCGAGTCCCTGGTAATACAGGCGCAGGTGCACACTGTTGCAGTTTCCTACTGCTGCTGCCTCTGCCGCTGGTCTTGCTGCTGCTGCTGCCGCAGCAGCAGCAGCAGCAAGGACCTGCGACTCCGCAGATATTCGAGGCCTGAAGGAATACTTGCTCTCGTCCTCTACAGCAGCAACACTAGCAGCAGCATCCGAAACAGCATAAGACCGGGCTGACCACAGCGCCTGCCGCAGCGCCGCGCTGTGTTGCTGATCTGCACGTTTCAGACACAAGACAAATTTCGCTCTGAGCCTTAAAACTTAAAACCTAGACCGGAGGCTCTGAGCTCTCTGTTGCATTTTTGCTGCACATTGCGAAGTCTAGACACCTTGTGGCTCGCAGTCTTTTCTTGGCATCAGCCTTTTGCTGGGTGACGTGAGTGGGTTTGCCCCTGCTGCTGCAGCTCGCTGCAGCCTGGTGCAGCTTGCTGCAACTTGCTGTAGCAAGAGCCCTCTACTGGTTACTAGAGGAAGGGCCCCAGACACAGGGGCTCGGCAAAGCCTGCTCACAAGGGTGCCTCGCTTGCTTCAGGCAGCAGCAGCAGCAGGGACCAGCAGCAGCCACAGCAAAGCTCAGCAGGGCACATGCTGCTGCTGCTGCTGCTGCTGCCGCTGCCCTTTATGCTGCTGCTGCTTTGCTGCAGATAAAAGGAGATGGCACAGCAGCAATATTAACAGACACTAGACGAGACAGTACACAATGCTGCTGCTGCTCCCGCTGCGTCGGCAGCAGCAGCACTACGCACAACCTGGGCAGTCCCGCGACACCCTGAGTTTCAGCGTTCTGGGGACTAGAGATTTGAAGGCCAGCAGCCTCATTTCACTACTGTCTTTAGTACCTGATGGCCTCAGCAGTTTCAGGCGGTTTAGAATAGCAGCTGAGGCTTCTAGCGCTGCGGGCCAAAGGCCCACATTTCCCGCCTGCGGCTCAGGGCTTTTGCTCTACGGCTATTTCTCTATGCCTCTGGGCTCGAGGTCCCCCCTAAAACATGCCTGGGGCCCCCTGGGCTGCTGTTCTTCTTGCCCGGGGGTTTAAGGGCTAGGGTCAGTGTGCTGCGGGCTGGCGGGCTGTGTGGCTGGGGCCCGCAGCCTGCGCCGAGCAGGCCTTCGCGTCTATCGAAGCAAACACAAATTAATCGAAATTAGTAAATTAAGGGACAAAGACAGATTGAGACTGTACAATCGCGACAAGCCCGCACACTGCCTAGATGTGCCGACTCGCCTGGCTGCAGCCCCAGAACACCGCAGAACCCCTGAAGGACCCCTAGGGGCCCCCCTTTGGGGCCCCTTGAGGCCCCCTGAGTACCTATTGATTTCCCCTTCACTTAGGCCTGAAGCAAAACAGAAGAAACTCCAAATTAAAAATAAATATACAATAAAACAGAATGCTTTAGGTGTGCACCGAGGCTGGCTTTCTGTACCCCACGGGGCCCGCTGGTTGCTCGAAGATCCGAAGGTCCTTGAGGGTAATCAGAGTCCTTCTTTTCAATTTATGATTCTATTTCATTGAAATTATTCAATTGAACACAGATTTAATTGTAACTGTGCCGAATTAATTACTCTTTGGCCCAGGCTGTGGTCGCCGTGGACTACTTCGCAGGGCTTTCATTTGCTGCGGGCACGTGCGGCACAGCAAAGGGTTTAGAGGGCACTACTAATTAGAGCCTGAATGAAGCTGTGAGGCTTTTTGCTGCTGCAGTTTGGGGGCTTTGAAGCCTCCCCGCAGTGCTGCTGCTTGAGAGCTCTGGGTACACGCGCACTGCCGAATGCAGCAGCTGCTGCAGCTGCTGCAGCAACAACTGCTGCTGCAGAATAGGACGTACTGGCGTCTTCAGGCTTTTCGTTCTCTTGGAGCTCTGGTGAGGGAGAAGCAAAAACGTCGAGGGGTCTACAGCCGCGGCGGCGGCAAAGGCAGCAGCAACACGAGCTGCAGCAGCTTCAGTAGCACTGGTGGCAGCAGCAGCAGAAGCAGCAGCAGGCCACTGAAAGCTGCCAAGCACAAAGGGGGCCTAGCAGCGAATCAGCAGAGATTCGGGTATGACATAATCCCGGAGGTGGAGGCAGCAAACCCGCCAAGGAGCAGCACCAGCAGGCACTCCAGCAGCAGCAATAGCAGCAGCCACAATGGTGGCAGCAGCACTGGTGGCAGCAGCACTTTTTACGGCTGCAGCAGCAGCAGCAAGAGCCCCTTTTCAAAAAGGCAAAGAGCCTTTGACACCAACGGAATAGCCGCAGACAGCAGCAGCAGCGAAGAGGTGCCAGGGGCAGCAGCTGCTGCTACCCGTATGGCGCTTCCAGCAGCTACGAAGCGCCCGCAGCAGCAGCAGCAGCAGAGACAGCGCCGGCAGCAAACAGATGCAGAAGAACACAACGAGGGGCATTTGCTGGACTCTCTTCCTTTCTTATCCCCCCAGCAGATCTGCCTGGCAGTCTTCAGACTCACTGGCCCCAGCAGCAGCAGCAGCAGCAGCAAGACTGGGGCACCCACTGCATCACATGCTGCAACGCTGCGCAAAGTTGCTGCTTACTGCAGCCCGTTTGTAGACGTGTGGCCTCACAGAGATGTTGCTATGCTGGGGGTCAGCCTGGCTACGCACCACAAGCAGCAACTACAGCAGCAGCAGCAGCAGCAGCAGCTCGTGCTGCAGCAGCAGCAGCACCAACAGGATGATCCAGTGACGCAGTTTCTGCAGAAGGTGGGGCTGCATGTGCTGCAGCACGCAGCGCAGCACGACCCCCGTGACTTGCTGCGGCTGCTGCCGCTGCTTGCTGCTGTGCCGCCGTCCCCCAGAGCAGCAGCAGAAGCAAAGGCAGCAGCAGAAGCTGCTGCTAATGGAACAATTGCTGCTGTTGGGTCTCCCGCGTCATTTCCTCATCTTCTTGCTGCAGTGCTGCTTCCGCTAGCTGCTGCACCAGATACTCTCGGTGGCCCTGCTGCTGTTGCTGCAGCTTTTGCTGCACTCTCTGACAGACGCTGGCAGCTTCCTGAATGGGCGGCCATTTCGCTGGCGCAGCAAGTGCGCTGCTGCTGGCAGCAGCCGCAGCAGCAGGAGCAGCAGCAGAAAGGACTGTCGCCGGAACAGCAGCAGCAGCAGCAACACACCAGAGCTTGGCCCACGCTGCCGGATGCAGCAAGGACTGCATATGCGTTTTGTCGTTTTGCTGCTTCAAAGCTGCAGCCATCTGACTGTTTGCAGGCACGTGACGACGTTCATAGCATAAGTGACAGCAGCAGCAGCAGCAACAGCAGCACCAGACGCGACAGCAAGATATTTTGGGTGGACTGGTTGCATTGGTTCCTTGGGAAGCTGCCTGCTGTTATTTTGAAGGCTGTGCCTCCACATGCTGCTGCTGCTTCGCCATTGTCTTCTGCTGCTGCTGTTGCTGCCGCAGCCCTGCCTCCTGCTAGAGCTGCTGCTTCGCGTGGTGCTGCTGCAGCGCTGCGAGACCTTTCAGCGTTGGCCTCTTCTCTGACGCGGACATCACAGCTGCTGCCAGCTGCGCATGCGCCAGTGTGGCGGGTGCTGCTGCCGCAGCTGCTGCTGGCGAGCAGCAGCAGCAGCAGCAGCAGCAGCAGCAGCTGCAGCAACGGCAGCAGAATCAGAAGAGCTGGCTCTGCTGCTGCTGCTGCGGAGCCTTCATCTCCTCTTAAGGAAATGGCTCTAGGCTGCGCTGCTGTGGCGCGCTGCAGCATCACTGCAGCAGAGAAGCAGCAGCTGCTGCAGCAGTTTGCCCCCTGCTTGCTGCGGCTGCTTCACCAGCTGCTTCCAGCAGCAGGCGAGCCCACGCAAGCAACTGCAACACCATGTCTTGAAGGAGCAGCAGCAGAAGCTGAAGGAGCAGCAGCAGAAGCCGCACGTGCAGCGGCCGCGCATCTCGCCCCAATGGCTCCAGTGACAGCCAAAGTGCTGCTGTCTTCCTTTGCTACTGCTGCTTCCAGCAGCCAGGACGCTGCAGTTGAGCAGCTGCTGCTGCTGTTGTGCAGGTACTTGCGAGGATACAGAGAGCATTTCAGCATCGAACTTCTGGCCTATGCAGCAGCAGATGCAGGCCTCCTTTCAAGCGTTTCACCTTCAACAGCAGTGCGCAGTGAGGCTGCTGCTGCTGTGGAGGCGGGATGTGACTACCTGCTGCAGCGGCTGCAGCAGCAGCAGCAGCAGCGGCGGCAGCAGCAGCAGGAAGTGGAGGCGAAAATCCCTCGACAAGCAGCAGCAGCGCTGCTGGCCATATGCAGCAGGCTGCCCACAGTCCCTGTAAGACTCGTCGAAGCACTGCAGCAGTCCATTCTCCAACCGCAGCAGCAGCAGCAGCAGCAGCTGCAGCAGCAGCAACGGAAGCAGGCTGATTCAACTGTCTCTCAGGTGACTGCTTGCCTCCTAGCGCTGAGCCGCTTCCCCCGTCGCCTCCTTTCGGAGCAATGGACAGCAGCAGAGCAGCAGCTGCTGCATCGGCTGCAGCAGCTGCAGCAGCTGCAGCAGCAGCCACAGCAGCAGCATATGCAAACGGAGCTAGGACTAGAGGAAGCAGCACGAATTCTTTCAGCCTACGCTGCAGCGCTGCGGGAGGCCCCACATTTGCTGCTAAAGTCAGTACAGCAGCTTGTGACCCCACAGCTCCAGCAGCAACGCCAACAGCAGCAGCAGCTGCTACTACAGCTTCAGCAGCAGCAAACAGATATATCGACGCTGAGCCTCAGCGGCTGCATGCATATGGCGCGCCTGCTGGAAACTGCAGTGCTCCTCTCGCTGCACCTTCCCTCAGCCAGGCAGCAGCAACAGCAGCAGCAGCAACGGCAAGAGCAGGATATTCAGACGACAGGAGCCTTCATCGCTCTCTTAGTGGATTCTCTCTGTGATAATATAGCGTTTCACAAGAGATGCCTCTCCCTTTTGTTTCCACGGATGCTGTCTGTCTCACCCAATAGCAGCGATGACCAGCAGCAGCAGCAGCAGCAGCAGCAGCAGAAAGCGCACCAGAAACACCTGCAGCAGCTTCAGCGGCTGCAGCAGCAACAGCGCGGCCTTGTCGGCATCACAGCCATCTGTGCCACCCACCTTCAGCACCCTCCATTGTTGGCTGAGGCGCTGCAGCTGCGTCTGCTGCTGCTTTCAGAAGCTGCAGCAGCAGAAGCGGCAGCAGCTAAGCATGCAGCAGCAGCAGAGCCAAAGCGAGCCAGTGAGTCTATGCCTTTCTTAGCTCCGTCAGAGGAGCTGCAGGTTGGCCGATTTGTTGCTTCTTTTGTTGCGGGATGCTACTGTCCTATCCAGCTGCAGCAGCAGCAGCAACAGCAGCAGCAGCAACAGGACCACCAAGATCAGAAGCAGAAGGCGTGGGATATGCTGGTGTCTTTGTTGGGAGGCTGCGAAGCGGCTGCAGCAGTAGCGGCACGCGCTGCTCTTCACGCAGCAGAAGCGCTTGAATGCCGGCAGCAGCAGCAGCAAGTACTGCAGCAGCAGCAGCAGCTGTGGACTAGCGAGCAGCAGCACGGGTCCCGCCCTTCGCTGCGCATGCAGCTGGAAGTGGCGGCAGCACTGCGCAGCAAATCAGTGCAGCACGAAGTGCGGAGCTGCCTGTACACTCTAGACTTGCTGCTGCCTCCGCTGCCGCTGCTGCCTCTCTGCTGACAGCACAAGAAGCTGCATCTAGTTCTTGTCTTTTGTCCTTTCTCGAAGCAGCTAGCTGCCTAGGATCACAGCTAGCTGCTGCAGCTGAGTCTCACTTCTGACAGCTAGCTGCGACGCGCGCGACCCGCCCCGGGTGCACCACGGCTAGCCGTGGCTAGCTACTGCTACTCACATCTAGCTAGAGTTCGCCACGGCTAGCCATGGCTAGCTAAAGTCAGCCATGGCTAGCCATAGCTAGCTAGAATAAACCACGGCTAGCTACAGCTGGCTGGACTCAGCCGCGGCTAGCTAGACTTAGCCGCGGCTAGCCACAGCCAGCTAGAGTTAGCTGCAGCTAGCCACGGCTGATTACAGCTAGCTAGAGTTGGCCGCAGCTAGCTACGGCTAGCCAGAGAAAGCCGCAGCACTAGTGTCCGCAGCAAAGCCTGGGTTTGCCTGGGCAGCTCTGTGTGGGGCCAGTAGCAGCAGCAGCACACAGCCAGAGGCCTTTGGGGCCTTGGGCTTTGCTGCTGGTGCTTTATTGGAACAATTTTATAACAAATTTGTCTCAAAGGAAGCTAAAAGGCCTTTAATTAAACAATCTGGGGCAGTGCAGCACGCAGGCAGACTGTGGCGGCAGAGAGGCTGCCGCAGCAGCAGCTGCAGCAGCTTCGCTGCAGCTTTCTGCTACTGAAATCTGGAGTGTCTGTGCAGCCTGCAGCTGCAGCAAGCGAGGCCCTGCTAAGGGCTGCAGCCCTCCAGGCCTTAGTGGGGCTTCTCCTTCTGCAGCAGCCAATTGGGTGCAGCAAAAGAGCTTCTGCAGGAGCTCGAAAGTGCTGCTGAAGGCGAAAACTGCTGCAGCAGCAAACTGCAGCCTCCCCACGGCCTCGGGCTCCCCCCAGCTCCCGGCCTTGTGTGCCCAGCGGGCCAGCTGCGGGTGTGCAGGTCTGCAGCAAACTAGAGAACCCAGATGAATTCCTTTGTGTGAAAAAGTCTTACTTTTAATGTTTCTTTGGAGCCCTAGACGTGTCTTACAGGCGGGGCAGCTGCTGCGCGCGCAGCGCACACGCAGCCCCCATCCGCAGCAGCAGCAGCAGCAGCAGCAGCAAAGGGCCCAAGGGCTGCACAGACTTGCTGCACCCCGAGGTATGAGAATTGAGGCTGCTGCTGCAGGTGTGAGCAGCAAGGAGCGGCTGGGGACGGTGCAGCTAAGAGGCCCCGCGCCAGCCCGGCGCGGCCCCTGCTGGAGCTGGCCTGCTGCGGCGCCGCCAGCTCTTAGCCGCAAAATTTCAAAGGAAAAGGATAAATTAAATTAAATTAATTATATTATTTAGCTTTATTTCACGGGGAGCGCTGCAGGTGCTGCCAGAAAGGCGCACACACTGCGGGCCTGGGAGGACCGCTAGCTGCGTCTGCTCCGCGGCTGGGGAGCTGCTCGGGTCACTGACATGCGTTTTGCTGGAAATAAAGAGCTCAATAAATTCAAAAATTAAACCGAAAAGGTTATTTCGAAATAAGAAGCTCTAAGAAATGCATTTAGAGCGGCAAGACTGAACCACTGCTGGTCCGGTGCTGCAGCAGCTGAACAACCGCTGCTGCAAGACTGCCCATTGCTTTGCGTACTGCTGCAGATACGCTGAAAACGCAAAAACGAAATGCACTATATAATCCTTTTTGCTGTTTCTTAAGCACATGAAAAGATACAAAACATAACAAAAGGCGTGGGCCGGTCCGCCTGCTGCTGTGCGAGAGTGAGCGTTGCAGCGCAGCAGCAGCAGCAGGTAGGTCCGCTCTTGCTGTTGCTGCTGCTGCTGCTGCTGCACATATCGTGGTACCTTGCAGCGTTCGTCGTCGATTCTTTGGCGTATTTTTAAAGTCCTACTGCCACATTTTTTCTGTCTGTGCGTCTTTGTCCTAACCCCTTTCCTGCAGCAGCAGCAGCAGCGGCGACAGCAGCAGCAAGATGGGTTGCGTTTCCAGCAAGCAGGGAGCTACCCCTGCACAGAGGCAGCCCTCTGCTCCCGGTAAACAATTCAGACCATAAAAGCTAAAACAGCCCTAAACCCTAAACCCTAATTCAGTGGTTCCGCGCTGCCCAGGCCTCCCGCCCGCGGCCGACGTCCTGCTGCGCCCCGCAGCAGCAAACAGCAGCAGCAGCAGCGATAGAAGCCTAAGTGACGTTCCAAACCATTGCTGCGCATTAAGCCTGCGTTTGGGTTTTGTTTGCTAACATTGGTTCCGCTGCCGTTGCTGGAACTGCTGCTGCTGCAGCAGATTCATGTGCCTAAACTCTGTGTGACAGCAGCAGCAGCAGCAGCAGCACGTTGCTGCTCGCCACTTGGCGCGCAACTACAGCACATTTGACTTGTCTCCAGGGTTTCATATTTGCTGCTGTGGAGCCGCAGCTGCAGTTTACGGGTGTGTGCGTTGGTGTGTGTCTTGCTGCAGCAGCAGCTGCTGCTCCCGCAGCAGCACCTGCAGCGCCGGCTGCAGCACATGCTTCTGCAGCTGAAGCCGACAAGAAAGCCGCCGCTGCAACAGAAGCAGCTGCTGCTGATGCAGCAGCAGCAGGTAAGTCGGCTGCCGCTGCTGAGAAGGAGATAGCGGGCGCAGCAGCAGCAGAACCAGCTGCTGCTGCTGAGGGAGCAGCAGCAGCAGCAAAACCTGAAAACAAGCAAATCAGCGTGGAGCTGTCTGCGCCACCCCCACTAAAGAGCCCCCCTCCTCCTCCCCAGCCCAAGGCGTCGTTGCCTGCTGCTGGTGACGCAGCAGCAGCAGCAGACGCACCAGCACCAGCAGCAGCAGACGCAGCAGCACCAGCAGAAGCCGAGAAGCCTGCCGAAGCCTGAGCCCCGCATGCGACATTTTTAGGGCGCCCCTACCCCCCGGGGCTTCCCGCGCACGCAGATGATGAAACCAAGAAGGTGCTGCAGCAGAAGCAGTTGCTGCTGCAGCAGCAGCAACTGCTGCTGCAGCACGGCACCCCCACAGCTCCACAGACAATGGCTTGGCGGCCCCTCTGCAGCAGCGCAGCTGCTGCTGCTGCGCCCAGCAGTCGCCGGAGCCCCCAGGCAGCTGCAGGGCGGCTGGCCCAGTGCGAGTATGCGTAGTTAAGTGATTTGTTGCTGCAGCAGCAGCAGCAGCAGCAGCCGCTGCTGCCACGCCGCTGCGCTGGTGCTCCGCGGCCCCAACTCTTATGGCGGCTCGGGTCTCCCCCTCTGTCTCTGCTGCTGCCCTTTTCTTCCTTTCTCGGTAGCGTTCTAGGCGCAGCATCTGCTGCTGCTGCTGCTGCTGACGGCAGCAGCAACTGCAGCTCCTGCTGCCACCTGCAGCCGCCGGCGGGTCTAGAGCCCGCCAGTACCGCTGCGCAGCAGCTCTTTAGTTGCTGCTGCGCATGCAAACACTGAGGGACTAGGGAATATTTAAGCGTTTGATTTTACGTTTTTTGTGTTGTCCTGCTGCTGCTGCTGCTGCTGCTGCTGAGCTGTCATCGAACAAACAGCTGCTGCAGGTGAGCGAAACACTTTCTGTTGCTGGGGTGTACGTACACCGAAAATTGCAGTTCAAGCCGCCCAGCAGCTGCACTATGGTGGGGATGTTGCTGCTGCTGTTGTTGCTCTTCGTGCTGCTGCTGCTGTTGCTGCTGCTGCCGGATCGGCCTTTGCACGATCATTCTCCTGTGCGCGGCTGCTTGCCTGGGCCTCCGCTGGAACACATCGCCGCTGCAGCTGCTGCTGTTTCAGCTGCTGCTGCTGCTGCTGCTTACAGCAGCAATTTCCTTGCTGCCGCTGCCTCAGGGAAGGCCAGAGCCGCGAGGGCCAAATCACAATCTCTTTGAATAGCAGCGACGAGGTGCGCTGAGGTGTACAGACAGCAGAACAAAAAGAAACGCACTGTACATACAGCTCTGCTGCAGCTGCAGCAGCAGCAGCAGCAGAACTGCGGCTGCTGCAGCAACACCAGCTGCTGCGGCTGTGATTGCGTGGGGCCCTTCTGCGCAGCTGCTGGGACGATGCTTCAGGATTTAGGGTTTAGAGTTCACAGAACTTGGATTTAAAAAAGAACAAAAAGAGGCGAGAACAAACAAAAGATAAATGAGAGATAAACGAAAGACAAATAAGAGAATAAAGATAAAAATAAAAGACAAAAATGAATTGAAAGAGAGAAAAGAAAGGACAGAAAAGGGACATATAAGAATAAATAAGAACAAATAAAAGACAAATAAAAGACAAAACAAATGAGAACAAAAGCGAAAACGAATAAAAATAAACAGAAAAAGAGACAAAGACGGACAACAAACAAATAAAGGACAAATGAGTAACAAATAAAAACAAAAAACAAATAAAGGAAAAAAAGAAGCAAATAACAAGGCAACTAAAAATCAAATACAGAAAAATAAAAGACAAATAGAAAAATAAAAAGCAAATAAAATAAAAATAAAAAAAAAACGAAAAATAAAAAACAAATGAAGACAAGAAGCTGAAGATACACTCGAGAGGCGTGCAGCAGCGAAAAGCCGCAAAGCCAAAAAATCAAAATTAAAAAGATAATGAAAAGGGATGAAATAGAAGCGAAAATAAAGAGAAACTGAAAAGTAAGGGAGAAAGATGGAATAAGAAGACTGAGAATAAAAAAGAAAAGGAAAAAGGAGAACAAAGATTTTAAAAATGACCAAAGGGATCAAACAGATAAAAGTAAACAAAAAAAGAGTCAAAAGGGACAAAGAAAAGACAAAAGGAAACAAAAGAAGATAAAATGAGATAAAGGGAAGAAAGAAAAAGAGATAAACAAAAGAAACGGAAAAAAATGAAAAGAGATAAAAGAAAGAAACAAGAAGAAGCAAAAAGAAAGAAAAAAGAACAAAAGAGATACAAAAGAAGGGGCAAAAGGAGCTAAAGGAATAAATAAGAAGACACAAAAGAAGTAAACAAGAAGCGACAAAAGAAAAAAACAAAAAGATAAAAGAAAGAAACGAAAGAGATGAAAGAAGATAAAAGAAAGGAACAAAGAGCTGAAAGGGGGCAGAAGAAGCAAATAAAAAAGAAGAAATGAAATGAGGAAAAAGAGACAAAGGAGGAGTGAAAATGATAAAATAAAAGGACAAAAAAGACAAAATAAAGAAGAAGAAATAAAAGGACAAGGAGAGAAAAAAGAAGACCAAGAAGGAGAAAAAGGTTCTCCAAATAGTCAAAAAACAAGATTAAAAATTAAAAAACAAAAAGCTCACAAAAAGAAGCAAATGGAGCTTCTGCCCGCACAAAACCCCACAAAGAAATCTTCATTTCTCTTCCTCTAATATCCCCCACATCTTCAGCCAGCAGGTGCGGCTCCTGAGCAGCAACAGCAGCAGCAGCAGCAAGTACAGGCTCCCATTAGGCTGTAGCAGCTGCAGCAAACACAGGCTTCCTTTAGGCAGCAGCAGCAGCAGCAGCAGCAGCAGCAGACACCGGCTCCATTTAGGAAGCAGCAGCAGCAGCAAAAGCCACCACAGGCTCCCTCTTGGCACCAGCAGCATCAGCAGCAGCACAGGCTCCCTTGGGGGAGCAGCAGCAGCTGCTGCTGCTGCTGGGGGCCCCAAATGTTTGTTGCTGCTGCTTCTCACCACAGTAGCTTTGCTGTTGGCGAAATAAGGATTAAATCCAAAAGAAAGAACTGTCTTGTAAGGACCTTGTGGCAGCTGCTTCCCAGCCTCCGGCAGCAGCGCCGCCCACCCGAAGTAAACCCCTGCAGCAGCAGCAGCAGCAGCAGCAGCAGCAGGTGGGAGGAGCGTGCGAGGCCGAACTCAGCAGCAGCTGCAGCAGCAGCTGCAGCAGCAGCCACACCAGCAACAGCACCACTTACCAGGAACCAGCGCGAGATGTACGGCAGCGTCGAAATCCTGCAGCAGATGCTGCTGCTGCTGCTGCTGCTGCTGTTGCTGCTGCAGCAAGAGATTAGCCGTGGGGATTCCCAGTAAAGAGCTGCCTCGGCCGAAGCCGCGAACTACCAGGCCCTGCAGCAGCTGCGGCTGCTGCAGCAGGAAGCAGCTGCCCCAGCCGCATCTCAGGAGGCTTCGCCGGGTCTCCACTGCCACTCCTGCTGCTGTTGCTGCTGGTCCTGCTCCTGCTGCTCCTGCTGCTGCTGCTGCTGGGCTGCTGCTACCCTTTGACACATGTTTTAATGCACGAAGAGGCACAACGCGCTCTCCATAAAGAGGCGTAGACTCGTCGTCGTCAACCTGCTGCTGCTGCTGCTGCTGCTGCTGCTGCAAGGCCTGCACTCCATAGGCTTTCTGCAACGAGATGATGTCCATGGACTCGAGGCACTTCAGCAGTTTTACTTGCTGCTGCTGCTGCTGCTGCTGCCCTGGCTGCTGCTCAAGGGTCACCAACTGCTGCTCTGCCGCTGCTGCTGGCAGCTGCGGCGCAAATACACTGAAGCCTGAAAGACGCAGCAAAACGCACAGGAGCAGCAGCAGCTATAGCTTCCGAGCAGCAGCACAAATCACACAGGCAGCAGCAGCTAGCCAGAGGGAGAACGAGCATTCAAAGATGGCAGCAGCAGCAGCAGCAGGAATTTGCTGCAAAGACGCACCTGCAGCAGCAGCTAGATTCGCGAACGGCACCGTAGAAGCAGCCACGACGACTGGGATCTGCTGCTTTTGCTGCTGCTGCTGCTGCTGCTGTGGCGAGTTGCAGCAGCTGCAGCAGCAGCAACAGCAGCACGTGCCGCCAGAGCAGCAGATATTCCCCGCAGCTGCTGCGGCAGTAGGTGCAGCGGAAACAGCAGCAGCAACCCGCTGCACAGCAGCAGCAAAGTCTCCCGGGCTGCTGCTGCTGAGATGCATCAAATGGCAAAAACGCAGCAGGGGCGTAGCAGCAGCAGCGGGTGCTGCTGCTGCTGCTGTTTCTGGGGCTTCCTGCGAAGCTGCTGCTGCTGCAGCAGCATGCGCGTTCCGTCCCAAGTGCAGCTGCAGCGGCAGCAGCTGCTGCAGCAGCTTCCCGTTGCTGCTGCAGCAAACCACTGCTATTTCGCCCCCAGAGCAGCAACGGCGCAGCTGCCTCAGGGCCCCCACATGAGGCCTTGTGCAAGGAAGCAGCCGCTGCAGCAGCAGCCTGAACCCTTCTAGTGTCGCTTCTGCTGCTGCAGCTGTGTCTGCTACTGCAGCTGTGACTGCTGCTGCGGCTGTGTCTGCTGCTGCGGCTGTGTCTGCTGCTGCGGCTGTGTCTGCTGCTGCGGCTGCGTCTGCTGCTGCGGCTGTGTCTGCTGTTGGGTGCTGCGCAGCAGCGTCATAGTCAGCTGCACTGCTACTGCTGCTGTTGCTGCTGTTGCTGCTGCTGCTGTCTTGCACGCTGCTGCAGGTGCTGGTGCTGCTGGCCTGCGGAGCTTCTGCTGCAGTCTTGAGTGGCCCTCTGGACCAGCAGCAGCAAGTGCTTGCTGTCAGCGCACCTGCTGTTGCTGCAGCATCTGCTGCTGCATCTATTGCTGCATTTGCTGCTGCATCTGCTGCTGCTTCGGGGCCCTCTACGGTAGCTAGCTGCCCCTGGAGAGACTGCAGCAACTTTGCAACCCTTTCTCGCCGTGCTACTGCTGCCGAGACTCCCTCCTGCTGCTGCTGCTGTTGCTGCTGCTGCTGCAGCACACTTAACGCGCAGGTTGCTGCTGCCTTCTCAAGAGACACACCCGGGAGAAGCATGCCCTGCGCTGCAGCAGCAGGCAGCTGCTGCTGCAGCAGGCCCTGCAGCAAACAGTTCGCCAGGCTCGCAAAGTCAAACAGCAAGGCATCTCCTTCCAGCAGGAGCAGCAGCCTCGGGCTGCTGCTGCTGCTCCTGCGAGCCGCAGCAGACCCCGGAGAATCGTGCGCCATTGAGTTGTCGGCAGCAGCAGCTGGAGCGCAGTAGCAGCAGCAGCAGCAGCAAAGATGAGTTCGCAGGAGCTCCCGCCTGGGCAATCACCTCACTGGTGATGCCCTTGTTGCTTTCGTCGGGTCTGCTGCTGCTGCTGTCGCTGCTGTTGCTGCCCTGAGGGCGCCGCTGCTGCTGCTGCTGCCGCTGCTGCCGCTTTTACTGCTGTCTGCCGCAAATGCAAAACCAAAAGGAAACTCTGTCCAAAAGGGCTTCTTCTGATATTAATTTTGCTGCAGATGATGCGCCGAAGTGGCTGAGGTGTACGTACACCCCAAGCAGCCGCGTGCAAGACGAAGGCTGGGGGGCCGCAGGAAGGCGCCGGGGGCAAAGGAGAATCTGGCGGCACTGAAGTTTAAAAAAAAGATAAAAAAGAATTAAATAGAATTAAATATATTTAAATTTGCGTTAATTTGCACGTCTGCCTCTGTACGTACACCCCAGAGGCTGCAGTGAAGGGCCTCGATGCTCTGCAGCGGCAGCCGAGAGGCCCCAGCCACCGGCTTGCTGCGGATTTGGAGAGTTTGCTGCTGTTCTTTGGTCCTTTTTATCTTTTTCTGATTTATTTTATTGTTCATTATTCTTTTAGTTTTATTTATTTAGTTGCTTTTGCCATTTAGCTGCGATTGCTGCCAGAGACACGCTCGCGCTGAGCACGGACGAGCCCCCGCCACAGCAGCAGTAGCGAAGCACGGCCTCAGCAACAGCAGCAACTGCAGCAGCAGCTGCAGAAGCAATTAGCTGCTGCTGCTGCAGCAGCAGCACGCGCCCGAACCTCTCCAGAGCGCCGCATGGCCCGCCCTCTCTGCTAAAGGGCTGCAGCCGAACTAAAAGACAAAACTGCTGCAGCAGAGCTGCCTGTACACCCCAGCGTCTGTGCTGAGGTGTATGCGCATACACCCGAGCAGCAGCAGGCACGCGCGGCCAACAGCAGCAGCAAAAGGAAAACAAAGAAAGCAAATAAAGATACAATTATTAAGTTGATCTTGAAAAGGAAATAAAGATTTATTTGTCTAATTGCTTCTGCTTCCTTGCTTCTCCATTTATTTATTTGTGTCTTCGTCTTGGGCGACGAAAGAGGCGCTGTGGCGACTGCGGGGTGTACAGACGCAGCAGCAGCAGCAAGGAGCAGCAAACTGCTCCCACGCATTCTTGCTGGGCTTTCCCTTTCTAATTCAATTCATTTGTTTTACTTTTATTTTTTTGCTGCTTCATTAGAACTTTCAACTATGGACTTTGCAGCTGCTGCACTGTCTCGGGGCTGCCGCTGCAGAGCGCCAGCCCCTGCGTTGCTGCTCTTGCTGCTGCTGCTCTTGCTGCTGCAGCTCTGCTGTAGCCGTGCTGCAGCTCTGCTGCAGCCACGCTGCTAGTGTTGCTGTTGCTGCTGTTGCAGCAATCAGCCTGGTCAGCGGTAGCCATTCCTTGCCAAGGCTTGCTGCCCGAGCAGCAGCAGCAGCTGCTGCTCTGTTGCTGCTAATGCGTTCTTCGTTGCTGTTTTAGCAACTGTTGCTACCGCTGCGGCTGCTGCTGCTGCTGCTGTGAAGGAGCTATTATCTTAGGAAGTTAGCGCTGCGCGGCATGCCGGGGAGGTGTGGTGGCAAGCTTTGCTGCTCCCGAGTTGCTGCTGCTGCTGCTGCTGCCCCAGAGGCTGCTGCCTCTCGAGCTTAAGACTTTGCTGATGCGGTTTCCAACCCGCAGCACGCTGAGAGCGCTCCGGACATTTTGCATGCCGCTGATACTGCTGCTGCTGCTGCTCGTGCTGCTGCTGCTGGTCGTGCTGCTGCTGCTGCTGATGATGCTGCTCTTCGATAAGAGGCCTTTGAGGCCATTCGAGTGCCGAAACGGCGGCGACTGTGCCACAGATGCTGTAGCAGCGGCAGCGCAGCTTTTGCTGCTGCTGCTGCTGTTACTCTTTGCCTGCTGATGCAGACCCCCCGAGCCGCGCCCCCTGCTGTTGCTGCTGCTGTTTGCTGCAGTGCTGGCAGCAGAAAGCGTGGGGCTGCTGAGGGCATGCAGAGGCAGCGAGGGGCTCTCGTCTCCCGCGGGATACCCTGGAGACGCTGACGTTGCTGCTACTGCTGTTGCTGCTGCCGTTGCTGCAGCCGTTGCTGCTGCCGTTGCTGCAGCGGCTGCTGTTGCTGCTGCTGCTCGCGCAGCTGCTGCTGCTGCTGCGCTTCCGCCCCCTGGCAGCTCGCCGAATGCGCCAGCCCTGGAGATGAGGGGAGGCGCCGGGGGGCCCCCAAGGGCGGGAAGCGCCCCTAAGTTGCACATTTGCTGCTGCTGCTGCTGCTGCTGCTGCTCTTTCGTGCGAGTGCTGTCGTTACTTCCATAAGGGGTGCGGGCTGCTGAAGCATCAGTGCTTCGCTCGTCCTCTGAAGAGGTGCAGCAGCAGGCACATTTTTGCTTCTGCTGCGACTGCTGCTGCTGCTGCCGGTGGTGCAGCAGCTGCTGCGCGTACTGCAGCGGCTTCTTGGGAATGTTGAAGGATGGGCGCCTAGGCTGCTGCGGCAGCAGCAGCTGCTCCTGCTGCTTCTGCTGCTGCTGCTGCTGCTGCTGCT